GTTTGTTGATGGGCCCTTAGGCTGCTTCCAACTCTTTGCTATTGTAAACAAAGCTGCAATGAACATGGGTGTGCATATATCTGCTTCGATAGCAGACTCTCTGGGGTTATATTTCCAGTAATGGGATTGCCTTCCACAGTGGTTACACCATCCTACATTCCCACCAACAGTGAATAAGAGTTCCAGTTTCTCCACATCCTCTCCAGCATTTGTTGCTTGCTGTTCTGTTATATTTTGCTATTCTTACTGGGGTGAGATGATATCTCATAGTTGTTTTGAGGCAAGAGTGGAGTTATCTCTGCTTGAAGGGATTGGGTTTTCAGCAGAGTGGTTTATTTAGTTGGTATTTAGTTGATCTTATTCCTCCATTAATCTAGTCCTGAGCCTGTGGAGTAGGTGGGCCTTCTAATATCCAATCAGAATGGATCAAGTTATCTTCCCATACAAAGTGTCTCTTAGGCGAGGCCATAATTCTCAGGATTATGGCATTATCATCTTTCTGTATTTTGTTGTAGTTATCCCACCAGTGATAAATCCTATCTTGAGATGTTAATAACATGCAATTCCTGGCAGTTAACGTTAATGAGGTAGAGAGCAGTGGCCTCAATTAGTTTGTAAGTGAGTCAGTCTTTTGGCTTAAGGAAAGGATTTTAAACAAGGGAGCAGAGATTGGAATGAATTCAGCAGCACCAAAATATTTAAAAAGCCCCAAGTTGTCTGGACTCAAGTCCTCGTTGCAGGTCCTGGGAACTTCTGAGACACAGGGGAGGCAAAGTCTTGGAAGTGTCTTGAGGGACAGCAGACGCAGATGCTAAGAAGAGACCAAGACCTTCCCCTGGAGCTGTACCCGTGAATTTTGATTTCTGGCCTTCCAAACTGAGAGAATACATTTCTATTTGTTAAAACCATCGACTTGTGGTAGTTCTGAGTAAAAGGTAATTAAAACAGCTAGGTTATAGGGTTTTTGAAAATGTTGTTATTTAGAGTTTGCAGCCAAATGTAGCAGTTCAGTAGTGTCTGGGTGGATCCCCTCTCAGGCTATATGGCCATTCTCCCCTCTCTTTTCAATTTTTTCCTGTATTTATCTGTTGATGTTTCATTGTATAGAACTTTTAATTCACTGTGTTCTAGGTTCCTATTTAATCTTCCAAGTCGCTGCTCTAAATTTGATCCTTTTAAGTCACCCTAAAAAGAACTGAAGGCAGTTTTTGCTGCTTGAGGTAGATGTTGGTTTGGTTTTTTTTTTAATTTTTTTTTTTTTTTTATTTTTTTGTGTGAGTGTACCGTCAAATCAGATCTGACTGGTACAGGAGGAGATAGTCTCTCCTTCCCCGGCAGAGCATCTGGTGGATTCGAACCGTGAGCCTCTGGGATTGTAGTTGCAGCTCCTTACCACTAGACTACCAGAGCTCCCCTGACGTTGGTTTTTAAGACAGAGTTAGGAGCTGTCCACAGGAACATCTCAGCAGTAGTTTCTGAGGTTCACACATCCTTCTTGGGTTCAGGAAGTTGTATTCCTCCTACCTTTTGATCAGGATTCTTCTGTGGAATCTTTGATCAAATTGTTGAGTAATTATAGGGAGGCACCATCCAGTTTTGCTGTGTTCATGGTTTTCCTGGAGGTTTTTGGCACATACTGTATCTCAGTTCTTTAGTGCTTTTGTAACAGAAATACCACAAGAGGGTACCATTTAACAAACAGCTTTATATTCCAGCACAGTTAAGGCAGCTAGGAGCCTGAATCCAGGGTGTCCACTGTCTGGAAAGGGTCTTTGTCATCTTCCAGCATTTCTCGGCCAAGGGTTCCCCCTGGACATCTCCCTGTGTCTTGACATCAGTCTCCAGATCTAGGACTTTCTGACCCCTGCTCCTCTTCCTCGGTTGGTCTTGTTATGTACAGTCAAGTCAGAATTGACTCATCAGTCATGGGAGAAGATTGCCTTTCTTTGTCCTGAGACGTAGCTGGTGGATTGTGTACCTTTGCGTCGGCAGCACAATTCTTTCCCTTCTTGCTCCTCCTTTTAACCTATTGTAAGATCAGAAGTGTCTTAGGCCACATCTCAGGGATAGTTCCCTTGTGATCAGAACTGTGGTGGGATGTTGTTTTCTATCCATCAAGCCATGTAGGACTCCTAGCGACCCTGTGAACCACAGACCTGGACCCTGTCCTATCCTGGGGCATCCCTGTCATCTCTTGACACACCTGACCTCACTGCTGCAGTCACTATGGCAGTCCATTGAGGGTCTTTGCCTCTTGAACCTGTCACCTTCTCAAGCACCATGGCCCTTTCCAAGAGATAGCCTCTCCTAGCAAGCAACACATCCAAAGGGTGAGTGAGAGACGGAGCGTCCCCATCTTTGTCTCCAGGGAGCACTCTGGCTGCACTTTTTCTAACACACATCTTTTTTTCTTCTGGCAGTCCATGGGCTATTCAGTATTTTTCTCCAGACTCACAGCTCA